CCCCTCACCCCAGTCCCCTCCAGCCTTCCAAAGAGCCTCGATGTCCAGCAATGACACCCACTGTCCCTCCAATGCGGGAGTGGGGGGGCGGCGCTGCGAATTCTAAGCGGACCCTGAGTGAGTCTGCTCTGAACACACCCCCACCCCAGCCTCCCAAACAGAGGGCGGCTCTGGTGCTGTATGGCAACACGGACCCCCCCAAAGGGGAATCAGGGCTGGGGCCGCACCTTCCCCCGCCGGGGGCCCCACCTCCTCAGGCGGGGTTAGCGGGAGGCGTGCCCAGACCTGCGGGGCCGAAACTAGGACCGCGAACCAGACGCCAGACGCCAGACCCTCCCCTGCCGGGGGCCCCGCCTCCTCAGGCGGCGTTAGCAGGGGGGCGTGCCCAGACCTGCGGGGCCGAAACTAGGACCCGAACCAGACGCCAGACGCCAGGCGGAGGGACGGGAGCACCAGGCGGCCGGCGCCCAGGGCCGCGTCTCGGCTTCTCAGGCGTCGGGAGTGCCTGTGCCACATGGGCCTGAGAGCGGGGTTCGCGTCCTCCCCCACCGCCCCGTTCCCTGTGGCCTCGGTTCCTGCCCTGCAGACTGGCTCCTAGCGGCCCCATCGGGTGGGCGTGCAGAGCTGTCTGCCAAGCCCACCGACCCCTTGGGTGCCTCGCAAAGGACCAGACCCCTCCCCCATCTCGGTGCTGTCCCGTGGACCAGACTCTCCCCGCGACCCCTCTGCACGGGCAGCCAAGGGGACAGAGGGGCCTGGTCCCGGGGGGAGGGGGGCTTCCCCAGCCGGACCCAGTGCCCTCCCCTGGCGCCCCTTGCTCTGGGCCATCTGGGAGCTCGGATGGACCCTCACCTGCCTCCACCTGGTGCCCCTCAGCTGTCCCAGCCCCGCTGGCTGCCTTAGACCTGGGAATGTCACAAATGAGCTAAAAGAAGAAGGCTGACCCGCCATGTAGAAAAGGGCATCATTTTATCAAACATGGACGATTTCCAGTAGTCGGAGGGGCGTGCCGTCCACGCCTCTGCCGAGAGGCGGAGAGAGGTGACTGCGGCCAGCGGTGTTGGCACGGGCTTCGGCTGGTGGCCACTGGCCGCCGGGGAGGGACCAGGCCCTCGGCAGCATCCTCCTGCCCGGCTCCTCCAAGTCCAGCGAAGGTCGGGTTTTCGTTTGGGGCAGGAAGTGCAAGGTCACTGCAGTGGGTCTGAACTAGCGGTCAAGTGTGCAAGGACAGACTGACCGTCAGGACCCGGCCTTGGACAGGGACAGTCTGGCACATTTATCTGAAAACAAACGTCTTTCAGACAGAGCGGCTCACTGCTCCGTGGACCCCAGGACCAGGCAGAACACTTTTCGGCAGTCGTCACAGCGGCCGGCCCTCCACCCAGGAGGAGCGGGCGAGGCAGCGGCGGGGTCCTGAAGGGGGCCGCAGGGAGGAGCGAGGCCCCCCGGCCAGTCCCATGGTCCGTGCGGCCTCCGCCCCCCGTGAGGCCCGGACCTGGCCTATCTGCGGGCACAGCCCAAGGTCCTGCCGCCCAGGGCAGTTTTTGACAGAAAAGAAGAGATGAAGCCAGGCTGCTCGGGGCTCCAGGCCGCAGCCGTCCAGGCCCCCCCGTCCCTGCGCGGGTCTGGTGGCCCGTCCGTCGGGCGCCCGGGCGGCCTGCGCCCTGCCCCCTCAGTTGGCCTCGCCCTCCGTGAACTCCTCCTTGATGGCCTGTCGCCGGGCCTTGCAGTCCGGGAGGTCGAAGCCGAAGTCCGCCCACTCGTCCGGCCCGGCGCCCGCCCCCGGCCCGCCGCGGTTGGGGATGGTGATGGTGTGGCGCACGCGGAAGTGCACGGCCTCCATGACGCGCTGGCGCTGCAGCTCGCCCGAGCTGCCGATGGAGATGGTGGCCGCGTTGCTGCTGGTGCGGACGAGCTGCTGCGCGCCACAGTCGTGGCCCTGCTTCAGGTCCTGCAGGCCCCTCCAGATGGTCACGCGGTACTGCTCCGGGATCTTCAGCGCCCCGAGGTCCTGCGGGAGTGGGAGCAGGAGTGGAGAGCGCCTTAGAGGCGAAGCCGCGGGCGGCCCCTCCTCCCACGGGGACCTCCGCCCTGGCGCCCGCCCTGCTCCTGCAAGGGACCCCCTGACGCGGAGGGCCACAGCTGGTCCCGGAACTTGGCAGTGTGGGGGCCACAGAGCGGCTCGGAGGGGCCTAGAGGGGCAGCAGTGCTGGAGCCCCCTGTCCGAGGGTCTGGCCACACCCCTTCTTGGGGCCCCAGCAGAGGTGGCAGGAGTGCGAAGTGACCCGTGTGTGCGTGTGCACACGTGTGAGTGAGTGTGCACATATGTAGGGGTGAGGTCAAGTCTGGGCTGTGTGGGTCCTGGGACCTTGTCACAGCCAGAGTGACAGGTGGAGCCTCACGACACCAGCTCCCCCAGAACCACCCGCCTCCCAGCCTCCCAGCTGGCCGTTCCTCTGCCCCTTGACACCAGAGCTGATCCCGGTGATCCTGTCCTACACGCCCCTAACACACCAAGCACACGCCACATCCCGGCGAGGTGCGGGTCACACAGGGAGGGCCCAGCAGCGGGGCATCAGGGACATCGGGCCCGACGGGGCCGCCCTCTGACTGAATAGCCCTAGTTCTGACAAGTCTGCATGCCCGGCCTGGGGCTCTGGGCTGGAGGCCAGCCTGGGCGGCTGGGGAGCAGGGGCTGTGGAGGGCTCCAGGCCCCTGAGCTAGAGCCCCCCAGGGATCCAGGCCACATCTGTGTCTCCTGGGCCCTCGGCCTGTGCTTCCCGTGGCTCATGGCACGTGTGGCCCCGGCCGCCCTCGCGCAAGTTCAGTGCTTCACAGTTTGGGAGAAACTCCCTGGCCGGCACTCTCGTTTAACCGGTGTCTGCCGGTGCCCAGGGCGCCCCCAGCCTCACGCGCTGCAGACCCCGGGCCTTCCGCGTCCTGCACGTCCACCTGGGGGCTGCGTTTCTCCCGCGTACATGGCCCCCTGGCCTTTGCCTTTTGCCGGGCTTTGTGCCTCGGAAGTGGCCTGCCCCAGAACCCGACGGCGGCCTGGCCGCTGGGTGCCAGAGATCCAGGCACGAGAGACGACTCTCGTCTACACGGCTGGCTCGGCCACCCAAGGCCTGGACGCGTCCTGCCCGGCCCGCCGCCTGCGCAGCTGGACTTGCCTAGGGGCCTGGTGGAGTCGGCACGGAAGCCGGGGGTGCAGACATGCAGTGGGCTCGGGGAGAAGCGTTGCCCAAATCTAGCAGCCGCCCCCCCGCAAACTCTGAGAACAGTAAACGGAGCCAGAAAGGCTGCTGCACGGGACAGGGCTGCGGCGCGGGGCAGGGCTGGGCCTCACCTCCATCGTCAGGTTCTGCAGGTGGTAGATGCTCTGGAGCCCCTGGGAGGTGAAATACTCGATGCAGTTCGGACACCCCAGTCCCGTCAGAAAACTGCGGGGAGAACCCGTGACGTGACGCGGTGTCGACCTCTCGCGGTCTGCTGTGTGGCCTGGCTGTGTGGACACTGCCTTCAAAGGGACGAGTCCCGGCCACCCCACTGGCCACGGCGTCACAGACATGCTCACCCAGGGCACAGCCTCCAAGGAACCCCTGGCTTTTGGGCGCCCCCAACCTCTGTTGGACGCCCACTCCCAACGTTTTGTCTGCCCCTGTCAGTTGTCCAGATGGCAGAGCCACCGAGGCACAGGGACAGTCCCGTGACATGCAGAGACGCCCCCAGGCTGGAGCCAGTCTACCGGGAGCCACAAAGAGGCCGAGGCTCGTGGGTTAGTGTGTTCGTGGCGGGACCTGGCAGTGACCACGTACCTGACCAGGCTGGGATCGGCATGGTAAGGGGGAGGCGGGGTGCAGTGGGACCCCGAGACCATGGGCTGGGAGCCGTGGCTGCCGCTCATCTCGCCGTTGGCTGGCAGGGTGTGGACGTGGTTGTTGAGTATCCCGGGGCCTGGCAAGAGGTGGGTGAGACTGTCAGAGGCAGGGCGCACCCCCCTTCCAGGTCGCATGGGACAGAGGGGGCCAGCGCTGCCCGAGGAGGCCACCATCAAGAGCCCCACGCAAGGGTTCTGAGCCGGGCAGGCGTACGTGGAGCTGGGCCTGCCCTTCGGGTCCCCAGGGCCTGAGCGACTCACCCATGGGCCCCAGGTTGGGCCCAGCCGCCGAGCCATGTGGGGGAGGCTGGCCCACCAGCTGGTTGACGGAGGGCAGCCTGCTGACACCCCCGTGGACCTTGTTCACGGGCCCGTAGGACGGAGGCTGCAGGGGGCTCCTGCTCAGAAAGGACAGCTCGTGTCGGTGACAGCACAGGTGGCTTCTTTCCCATCGGGTCACCTGCCTGTAGCGCCCCTGCCACAGGGGGATGGAGACCCTGTGCCCACGCAGAGGTGTCCGAGAGGCCGCCCTCCTCACCCCGCCTCGCGGCCCGGGCACAGCCACGGGCTTGCTCTCAGCAGGACCCGGGCGATGCGGGGGAGGGAAGTGGGGGGAGTATTGGTGGGCGCAGTATTGGTGGGGTGGCATCGCCCCACCTCGTCCTCCACTCAGTGGACACTTGGGGGCACCCCTTGGTGGGACAGAAAGGCAAAGTGATGGCCACGACCACTGAGGTTAAGGAAGGCTTCCTGGAGGAGGGGACAGCAAACAGGGCCTTGCTGCCCGTCCCGGAGGTTGTGTCCGGCGCTGCCGGCACAGGGCCCCCCCGGTCCAGGAGGAGGGCTACACTCACGGCCTCTGCAGCAGCTGCTGCTGCTGACGGTAGGTCTCCACCGCCTGCTGCGGCACCAGCTCCATCAGCTCCAGACTCTCCTTGACCTTCATCAGGATCTCGAAGTTCTCCCGGCCCCGGACCTGAGCAGAGAGGCCGACCCTCTGCCCAGCCGCGCGCGGGCCCCTCCCCTCCCCAGACCCCTAGCGGGAGCCTCAGGGGACCCTGGACTGGCCGCTTTGTGGGTTCCCCGACACCCCTCATGCTGGGGCTTTGCGCCCCTTCTTTCCTCCCTGGGAGCAGGCAGGCGGGTCTCCCCGACCACACGAACCACGCCCACCCTGCCCGGCGAGCCTTCCCCCGCCTTCCCGCACTGCACACGTGGGGAGCTGGGGCGGGCAAGTCCGCAAATAGGGGCTTCTAGAACCAGGGCCTCATGCTTAGCTCAAGGAGGGACGAGGTCAGGAGGGGGAGAGCCGAGCGCACAGCGTGACGAGCCAGAGCAGTCACGCCATGTGGCAGTTGTGCCAACTTGGGCAACAGGGAAGTGGCCCTCCAGACTCTAGAACTAGGGGGCTCCTAAGCCCCCACCCCGTGGGGATCTACACCTTCCCACACGCCAGGGCCACTGGCCTCCTGGGCAGCCTGTGCCGGTGGTTGGCCCCGTCCGGCCTGGCTCTCGGGGCCCTGGCTCTCCCTTCCTGGACCTGCCACCTGCAAAGCCTGGGGCCTCGGCTCTCGGGGTGTGGCAGGCCGCTCTTGCCTGCCCCTCGTGGCTCCGGGTCTCCTCCCCGGCTGCCCGGGCTCTGTGGACACGGGCGACTCACGTGCATGTAGTACATGTCCTCGTCCCCATGCCGTCTCTTCTTCACATTGGTGCCCAGGACAGGGATGGCAGGGGGGCTCTGCTTGAAGGCTGGAAGGCCAGGCGGGAAAAGCTTTTTGAGCGGCGGGGAGCAGGCGGGCCAACGCGGGCACAGCCAGCGGGACGCCTGCCACGCC